AGCCACATATTTGTTTAGAGCTGTTTTGGTTTGTAAACGGTGCTTGATCTGTGCAGATTTCTCTCCTGATTCAGACAACACCACTTTTTCACGGGAAGAAATGTTATTATTGTTGATAGAGGACTTGTATTTTGGCCAGAAGAAACGTCTTGATGGATTTGTTTCAGCTTTTGTCTTCTCCAGATGTTAACTGATGGACTGGAGTGCTGTGGATTACTTGTGGATTACTGTGATGTTTTTATCAGCTGTTTGGACTCTCATTCTGACGGCACCCATTCACTGCAGAGCATCCATTGCTGAGACACTGATGCAATGCTACATTCCTCCAAACCTGATGAAGAAACAAACTCACCTACATCTCGGATGGCCTGGGGGTGAGAAAATAAGCAATTTTTCATTTTTGGGTGAACTGTTCTTTTAAGACAGCATACACAATATTCACAAAAACCTTTTTAATGGCTGTTGTGTTTTGGCAGTTCAGACTGTTCACACATATTGGAAATGCAACAAATGATGCAGCACAAAAGCTGCTCATTGTTAGTTGGTTCCTCTTTAAAGATAAAAATCTGCCACAGGCAGGCAAAAAATAACTTCCACCTCATAATAAACTGCCCACATAAACACAGTTCTTACAGTTGTGCTTTGAAAAAATACTAACAACATCATCAGTAATTATTGGACTTAGTTCTTTGTCTTTCTTAACATGCAGTTTAATATAACTGCATGTCTTTTTTTAATGCATCTGTTAGAATTTTGCTTTCTAACATTTATGAATGATAATAGAACGAATATAAACATGAGTGTAAATGTATGTGTTTTTTTTTTTCCCTCAGGCCCATGTTTGATGATGATATCCCATCAGTAATGGAGCTGGAAATGGAAGATCTAGATAATTGGATGGCAAAAGGTAACCACTAAATGTCTGTTTGTATCCTTCTGTCACGGTTCATATCTGGGCCTTGGCGTGTGTCAGAAATTGCACATTTATAGTGATTAATCCAAACCACAGGTGCTGGAAAAATGACAATCTGGTTTAAAAAAGTACATGATGAACTCAAAAAATACTTAGGCCTAAATTTATGAGTTATATACTTGAATTGCATATAAAAAATTCCATTAACTTGGATTACACAGTGTTAATGTAAACAAACAGTCATACATAAATAGTGAAACGGGTAAGATTTCTGCACTCAAAAAAAAAAATCTTGACGTACAGTAGTTTATTATTCAATATTTGCATCTACTTGATTTTATTTAAATCATATTTTCAAAATGCATTTATTCAAATGGCTTAGAATCAGCATAAATCTTTTCATTGTGAAAACAGTTTATTCAGTAAAAAGCATGAAGATGGTTAAAATATGGCTAGCTGGAAAACAAGCATTAACAATAATATATATGATTATGTATAAAACTGGTTATTGTTTATTTAAAAAAATATATTTTATTAGTACTATTACAGAAATCTTACCTGTTTCTGTATGACTGACAAATACGCATCATATCAAGTTAAAATTACTTTGTTAAAACTGTGTATGAACAGTATGTGTGGATGAACATTTTATATGCAATTCAAATATAAATCTTTAATTTAAACCTAATAATGTATGCTCTAATAATGTTTTGCTTAAAAACAACATTAAGCTATTATACTGAGTGTTACATTATTTTGCAGGTGAACATGCTTCAGTTTTAGTGAAGTTTGTGCTTTGGCCAGCAGGGGGAGCCATTGCACTAAAAACATTCAAATGCTCAAAAAACTTCACTTTATGAAAGTTGATGTTTAGTTGATGGCAGCTGATTCACACTTAAACCACCCTTTTTCACCAGAACTATAACATTAAGGTTCAAAACATCTTTCATACAAACAGACTGTGTTTGTAGGGTTGAAATTGTTTGCACTGTGAAAGTGTGTAAATATATGATCTATTTCTATTAGATTTAAAGATGTGGAACATGTTTGGTTTAAAGCTCTTAATGTAAAGAATCTGTGTCTTTTCATCGTTTGCTTGCAGATGGAGGCAAGAAAGTGGACACTGGCCAAATATAATGAAAAGCTTTTCAGTGAGTACACTAGACTTATTATTCCCTCCTTTATGCAAGATGTAGTCCAAACCTGGGAAAGCTACACAATTTCTAGAACGTAGTACAGTACAGTATTCGCAGTACAGTATTGGCTTGGACAGCTGTCGAGCGGTTATAACAGGAAAGTCATTGTACTAGCTTGCAAATATTTAATTTTCAGCACAGATCTGTAACAGATGTCGTGCATTTCTTGATTATTTACATTCACACGTCATATTTCACGGCACTTCAGGCTGAATTCAGATTGTTTCCGAGGAATGGCGAAGACTCATAGACATAAATGTTTGTAATAACCAGTGTTGGGGAAAGTTACTTTTAAAAGTAATGCATTACAATATTGCGTTACTCCATAAAAAAGTAACTAATTACGGTACTTAGTTACTTTTTATGGAAAGTAATGCGTTACGTTACTTTTTAAATCTGGACAGGGCTTGCTTGTTTGTTTTTAAAATAAAAAAGTTATATTTCTGGCAAATATAAAAGCCTTTTCACACCAAAAGTGAAATGAATAAGCCTCAGGCTGAAGGGAAAGTAAAGTAGAATGCAGAAGAAGAAATTTCAACACACTTCAGCAATAAAAAAAGACACACAAATGTTTGTCTAGAGTAATTTGTGCTTATTAGTACGGTTGAACTGGATCATGAATGGGATTAAACACATAAAGGATATTTGTGTTGTTTAACATTTAATTATTGCAGGCTTGCGTCATATTCTGAGTTGCATTATTTTTATTCATTTTGAGGAATACTGAATCTGTGGGGGGTTTTTGTGTGAGTGAGATGAATTAATGCATATTCATATTTATTTTAGAACTACAGTAACATCTTCTGATTTCTCTCACCATGGGGACAGGAGAGCTGTCAATCGATCAATTGGAAACAAAGTAACTTGCGTTACTTATTTGAAAAAGTAACTCAGAGATTCTCTTCTAAATTAAAAAGTAATGCGTTACTTTACTAGTTACTTGAAAGAAGTAATCTGATTACATAACTTGCGTTACTTGTAATGCGTTACCCCCAACACTGGTAATAACATTTCAGAAGTGTACAGTAAATACACAGAGCGACCGTTGAGTTCACATCAGTAACATGAAACTTTCCTCTTGGGGGTTGTGGTGGGTTAGAGGTTTAGAAAAGAATGGGGGTCCGCAGCACTGGACGTGATAAAACTGTGCTGATTTGGATGGGGAACACACACACGACTCACTGGGAAGTGCGGCAAGACACGGCATGAAGATATGCATTCGCATGCGTCACACCCTGTAATGTAATGTGTAAGGTATCATTTCCTGGAACTGTGAAATGACATAAAGTTACCTCTTACTTTACTTTCCAGTGGAATGTCCCTCTGAGTCTTAGCTACTGTGCACAGAGCTCCCCATAGTGAACTTTTTGTTTATGTCATGCAATTTGAACTATGATATGATAAACATTTAACATTTCATACTGCTGCTTTTTAGATATCCAGGAAAAAAAGAACAAAAAGACATTACATTGTATGTTGGGATGTGCAAAAACTACAAAAGCAATGACACTCTGCTGCCAGTAGACATAGTTATTAGTCTTTTAAATTTATTGGAGTCAGAGTATACAAAAATGCATCTAGACATTACAGTCCACTTAAGTTATGATAGTGTCTCAGTCCATATTGACACTGTTTTTGGAACTCGATCAATGTGAATAATAATAATAATGTACCATTCAAAGGTTTGAGGTTGACAAGATTTTTTATTTTTTTGGAAGAAGTCTCTTCTGCTCGCAAAAGCGTCAATTATTTAATTAAAAAATACAGTAAAAACAGTAATATTGTGAAATATTATTCCAATTCCAAATAGCTGTTTTCTATGTGAATATCTGTTCAAATGTAATTTATTTCTGTGATGCGCAGCTGTATTTTCAGCATCATTACTCCAGTCTTCAGTGTCACATGATCTTCAGAAATCAGTATAATATGCTGCTCAAGAAACATTTCTGATTATCATCAATGTTGAAAGAAACAACTGCTTAATATTTTAGTTTTTTTTCAGGATTCTTTGATGAATAGAAAGTTCAAATGTGTCCTTTCTTTAAAAAAAAAAAAAACTTTAGTAGTGTGTATATAATTAAATCACATTAAGCCAGGTTCATCCCTTATACATTTTGACAAAAAAAACTTGTTTTTTGGCTAATCCAAAAACACTATGAAAAGTCAAGACATGAATAACACGAACACACTTTTAGTAATGCATGGACTCTTGTCAAGTGCCTAGATTGTCAAATAGATTTGAAGTGGACCTCTAACAGAATAATAAACAGCAGTATTGTCTGTTGACCTCCACATCATCAGCACGGCTCTTCCACAAACACCCAACCACATGCACTTGCTTACTAATGCAGACACAAACACAGACCGTGCCATTCTGTCGAGTTTGTTTTGAGGAGGCTGCGTACGAGGAACAGAGTAGCTGTGGCTGCTGACTTCTGACCCACGGGTCGGCGCTGCCAGCGGTGACATCTGGTACTCATTACAGCAGGCATGTGTGGAAGCTGGGGATGAGGAGGGCCTCTTGCGTGCTCTCTGTCTCGCTCTCCCTGGGAACAGCAGAGGGTCAGAGTCCATGAGCCAGGAATGCAAGCTTACGTCACGCAGACTGTGTTTTTCCCAGGATCGAGTGCTATACAAGTTACAGGCTACACAAGTTACAGGCTACACAAAGGCTAGGTGATGTCAATGACAAATTAATGTTGATATAAACATAAACGGAGAGTATCTGAGGCCACATCAGCACAGGAGTACACGGCCCTTTTTATGCCGACTTAAACAAATCTTAAACGACTTAAACGAATCTGATCTGGAAACAGAAATTCTTTGCAGTAATTGCTGAAATATAACAGCACTGTTGAAGACTCCATATAACATACAAATGCACAAAGGTCTATAGATTAGTCCACAAATGTCTACAGCAGCTTGTCAGTGCACACTCTAAAAAAATCATTTCTAAATAGCACAATAATAAATAACCACTTAGTAAAATCTCTGAATATCACTTAAATGATTGTTTGAGTTTAGCATACCAAAATAAATTCCTTAAAATTAATTTAATTTTAATTTTAATTTTAATTTTAAAAAGTTAATTTTGTCAAAAATTTACAGAAATAAATAAATAAATTTGTAAATACATTTAATATTTTTATTAAATTGCAATAAAAATATTTCAGAGTGGAGAAATCATACTCATCAGTTTTAAAAGCTACAGTTATTACTCATTTCATATCAGTAACAATATTTCTGAATGGAGACTTCATATCAATATTCTTCATCTCTAACAACAATTTTAGAGATCGAGTATGTTCACTGTAAAACCAAACCGTTTAAATTAATTTAATAAAATGAGTTTGTTTCACTGAAATATTACTGAAATGCATCGTACGTAACAGACAAAGCTACGCAAACTCAAAATGTGAGTTGCAGCAGATTTCTAGTTCTCAGCATGCTTTGCTTCAGACCGTATAGAAGGAGAATAACGTTATTTTGTGGGTTTTTGCACATAATTAATATAGAAGAAGATCTGTTGGTGTTTAATGTTCTGTTATGTTGGAATTTATAGGGGTTTCTGTTGAATCTAGGCAATGTTTACTTACATTTACTAAATTCATGAGGATATTTTACTGATTTAAAAAAAACAGTGAGTGCATCATAGTTTTTGGCACATATTGGAATGAATCTGTTTTTCGCTCATTTGTTTTACAGGTAGCTGCGGCTGTGGAGCTGATCCAGTGCTGCACAATGCACTATTTTTAGGTACATGTAATTCGGAAAACTTTGCCAGTGCTTTTAGATTGTTTCATAATGCCATAACTTTATATTAAAAAGATATTTGTAAAAAATATTAAACACTGCTGTGTAAAGAGCTTTGCCGTTTGGATGAAAAAAAAAAGGCAGATAAGCAGATGAATTTCTTTCTGTCTGTTGCACTGATCTAAGCCTATGCTCTTCTGTGTGCTTTTGATATTAAACATATTTTCAACACTTTTTGACGGAGTACAGCTAAATTATAAACAATGTTGTTTCTTTATAATGTAATAATTGTTCTTGTTCTTATCTAAATGCAAGGGCTGCCACAGAAATATTAAGATGCATTTCATCATTCCATTTAAATTATAAAGACATTAACCTTTGTAAATATTATTACATTAGCTGTAGTTTTCTTTTATTTGCAGTATTGCAAGTTTGTGTTTACAATTTATAATGAAATTTAAATCACTTCATAATTCTTAAGAAAACACCAATGCATTTCTTGCTACGTACTGTATGTCTCTTTACATTAAAAGAGGAACTGTTATCATTGTTCTTGTCATTACATGTACACTATCAATCATAAGATGGGTTTTAATGTTTTTAAAAGAAGTCTCTCGTGCTCACCAAAGCTGCATTTATTTGATTAAAAAAATACAGTAAGCTCATTAATATTGTGAAATATTATTACAATTTAAAATAACTGTAAATGTAATTTATTGCTGTGATCAAAGCTGTTTTTTATCAGGCATTACAGTGTGACACGATCCTTCAGAAATCATTCTGATTTGGTGATTTTCTTATTTTTATGACAGATGAAAACAGTTGCAGTACAGTTGATACATTTTTCAGGATTCTTTGCCGAACAGAAAGAACAGCATTTATTTCAAATAGTTTTTTTTGTAACAATGTAAAAATCTCGACTGTCCCTTTTGATCAATTTAATTATAATCCCTTTGATCAATTTGATTAATTTAATCACCCCCCCCCCACACACACAAAATGAATAAATAATTGCAATCAAATAACATATATAAATAAATAAAAAAATTAGTATATATGCAAGGAAGTAAGGTAGCATATGTCATACCTTGCATCATTAAAGAGAAAAAGTATGTGTGCCATATTTCAGTAGACTGTCTACATCAAATACATTTAACACCTTATACAGCTAGACACAATATAATATCACCTAATCAGCTAATATGATATGACCATAGGGCTATTTGTTGAAAGTGAAGACCTGTTTGTTTCATGCTGCCCCAATAACTGAGTAATTCAATAAAGTGAGCCTTCTTTTGGCTTACACAGTTTCTGCTGAGTGCATTTTCTAATGGAATCTGATGAAAGCACTGTTTACCTCTGAGTGAGGCTTGGGACTAAACACGGCTTGCAAGAGCAGCAGAACCGATGTTTGGCTTTAGAGCGCTGCTGATCAGGGTAATATGTGCAGATACAGTTGAGTTTGGAATGATTTGTTAGTACTCATGCAGTAATGATTACATATTACAGATTGTTGTTATCTGTCTAGAACAGTTTAACTTATATTTCAGATTGTAGGGCTTTCGGAAACTTATGTGTGCATTCTGTTTAGTACAATATCACAATATCAAGATTTACTTACTACTACATAGGCCTGCTATGTATTGCTTTTACTGTTGAGCTTTGTAAAGTATATTTATATCTGACAGATTCTCTTTTGAAAAATGTGCAACAACATAAATATAACAGTACATAAAATAAACTATATAAATTAATAATAAAAATATAATTCATTTTTTAAACTGAAATAATTATGAATAATTAATAAATGACATTAATTCATTATGAATAATTATACATGAAATAATCATGAAATGATTTTTAAATAATGAAGTGTTACTGACAAAAAAGGATGATGTTAATAAAGAAAGAAATAAAGTTACAAGAGGTATAAAATAAAATAAAATAAATAAAATAAATAAAATAAATAAAATAAAAAAAAAAATAAAAAAAATAAATAAATAAAGCTGCAGTCCGTAAGTTTTGCCTCTTTGTCGCCATCTCTGTTTGAAAACCTGGAATTGCAGCTGTGTGCGGAATTATCTATTTGCGTGGGTTGTGCTCCAGCGCGGATGAATCTAATGTTCTGAAGAGTATGTGTGGCAAATAAAAAATAAAATAAAATAAAATAAAATAAAATAAAATAAAATTCCTTTGAAATCTGGTTGGCACCACTGGCACCGTCTGTGCTTCAGAGAAACACAATCTTTGGCACTTCAGTCAGTTTCTGATAGATTAACAGTGAAGCATTGAAACGACGGAACACTATGAAATATTAAAATGTTAAATATTTTACATGATGACTCCCACGCCATTATAGTGAAGATAGCAACCTTTGTTGAACATACCAAACTGAATTAAATGTAAAAAAATATATATTTATAATTAAATAAAACATAATAAAGAATAAAACCTTACTTTTTTTACATATAAAACAAAGTATTTTTTGTGTATATGAGTCCGCGGGCATGGCAACGTAATTACGTCATATGTAAGCGACACGGAACGCGAGCTGACGCAGTGACGCCATCATCCGTCGACAGGCAGTCGTACAGGAATCGGTTGGATAAAGGCGATCGCGCTTTAACGGAGAAGCATCGGAGTCGTGTGCCGTATCCCCAGCGTTCTTCAAGTCGGTCACACATTATTCCAGGGGGATTTTAGTCTCTGCAGAAGATAAATGATTAATAAAAGCTCTCCCCGGCGCGGGGGTTAGAAGAGTGCGCCTAACGCTCCTGCTGCGTTTCAGCAGAGGAACATGTTTAGTTTGCGCTTGTAAAACTTCATCAAGGATTGTTTAATTTTCTTTTCGGAGAGGAGAGACCTGGAGAGGAGACACCAGTCCCTGTGCACACAGGAGCTCCACTTTCCTTCGCCCCTCCACCAGTTTACCAGGTAAATACGTGCGTTTTCTGATAAAAGCGTCTTGTTTTGAAGAGAATGCTTACTTGGTTCATGCAAGGTTGATTTTGTGGGAGTAACTGGCATGTGATCGGTTTCACCACACAACCTCAGGCAGGTTTCAGACATAAGACGCGGACTGCATGGCCTTTTCTCGTGTTTATAATATTTAATATATCGCTGCTTACGATATATGCGTGTGTTGTGTGTGTAGCATCATTTAAAGCTGCAGTGTTGCATTGATGAGAGAATCCGAGACTCTTGTTGTTGTTGTTGTTGTTAAACTGTCTGAACCCGAGATAAAGGACACATCAAATACAACAGAGTCCTGCAGCTGCGTTAAACAAACCTAACGTCAACACAAAAACAAGCTTGAGCATCTGTTTTTCTTTCATTTTCATATGATTTAAACTTCAGAGCTTATAAACAAACCCGATTTCTCTTCTGTGGACTCCACAGTGGCTCGGAACGCTGTCGTTGCCCTTTAAATGCATTCGATTACTAAACCGCGGTATTACCAAACCGCGGTATTAGGGTCTTGCTGGTGAAGTTTCAGCATCATCTGTAATATTATGTAACTTACAGGGTTTGCAATGCCATCTATTGCTCCATGTGTTTATGTAATATCTGTTGTCAAATAAAAGTTTTACTTGGACGGAAGGTTTCTCTAGAGAACAGAACAGACTGGGGTCAGATTGCAAGCTTAAAACATTTCCCTAAGCATTGCACATCAGGTTTTAATAGTTTGTCACCTGTTGTAAAGTTAAAGAATACCATTTATGCATTTATTTCATACTAAGTATAGTTCAAATTTACTGACGTATCGCTCGAGACTTACTGATATAAAGATTATAATGAAATTATTTGGAGTAGGCTCTACTACTTGTGCACATTGCATGCCTTAAACGTGCTTTAATGTCACTATTGATGAGGACTGTATGATCTTCGAATAATATCGGACTTTAAATGCAAGATAGTACCAAAAGTGTACTTGCAATAGTTCCACTTTAGCTCAATCAGATATACCTCAGAATATCTTTAGCTGCACAATTAAAGCACATTAAGTACAAAATTAGTTGTTCCAATTTAGCAGACTTTAAGTATACCAGTTTAGTATACTAAAAGTACAATTGCAGGGTTTTTTTATTAAGTACATTATGAATTTGTAGTATACTTAGCACAAAATAAATGTATTTCAAATACACATAAGTATATTCTTCACTAGGGTAATGACCGGTTACTGTTGTGTTTTTAAAGCTTTTAGAATTTAGTTTGCGTCATTGAATCACTGTTTTCTTGTCTGTAACCGTAAAGCTGCTTTGAAACGATCTGTGTTGTTGTATAAGCTCTAGAAATAAAGGTGACTTAAGCGACCCAGTCTGGGTTAACTACATTTGGTTTCTGAGGTCGTTCTGAATTTTGTGGGTCGCTCTGTGATGCAGTGGAAAGTGTTTGATAAAATTGGACGGGAGGGAGAGGAAAAGAGCCGGAAATACAGAGGATAGTGTGTAAGCTCTTTCGTCCTCTCGCACCCTTTCCATAACATCCATTTCCACCTCCGAGAGCCCGGGATTCGGCATCCCTCTTGGAAGGGTGTAGCGTGCTCTGATGTTTTACACCGTTTACTATGAACTATGAAGGCGTTCGAGGTTCTAGTCTCCCGTATGGCTCTCTGAGACTTGCTGAATGGCCTTAATGTTTTGACAAGACACAAAGAGAGCATACAAAAGGCATGACCGGGGTTGGGAGATGAGAGAAAGGAACCGGGTCATCTGATGAGTGGCTCTATGAACAGAATATTTTTTCAGGCCAGCCGCTTCTTAACGGCACTCAGCTAAAATAAGAGCAGATCTGCTGTGTGGCTTCGATTAAAGAGTCTCGGTTAAAAGGGTTGCAGCACTCACTGCAAACTCCCTTTGAATTCTCTGGACTCCTCTGGGTGTTCACTAAAGGCAAGTTTTCTAGAATTTCACTTGCATTCAGCTTCTATGACAGAATATGATGGAATCTGTTGCTCAATTAAAAGCTCTTCTTAGAAGTAAACTAAGTAAAGGCCTTACAATACTGGGAAGTCTTCTGCTGAAATCAGCTGTTTTAGTTAAGAATTTCGACTAAAGGAAATGCATACTACAATACAGAAGCTTGTTGTTTGGTCGCAAGCGGCATGCACAAAACTCTCCAGATACCTTTGCCTTTTCTGCTAATTGGAACGCCTGTTGTTCATGTCTGCTCATAAACTTAAAGGGACAGTTCACCAAAAAATGAAAATTTAATTCATTGAATCACCCTCCTATTGTTTCAAAACTTTTTTTTTTCTACTGTGGAACACAAAAGAAGATAATTTGAAGAATGTTGTTAACCTTAAGTTTGGTGACCATTGACTTTCACTGTTTGGACAAAAACTTCTCAATATATTTTGTGTTCCTCATAAGAAATAGTCATACAGGTTTGGATTGACATGAAGGTGAGTAAATGACAGTATTTTCATTTGTAGCTAAACTACCCCAATGCCTCCTGAAATCTTGACATGGTTATGTCTCTTCACTTGATGTGCTGAGGGAATAAAAAAAGGCCACGGTCACGTGACTGCCGTCTCATCTGCTTTAACGGAGGTGTGAGTTGCCATGGAGTGCTGCTGCGCTTTCATGTGCTCTCACAGCAGTCAGACACGAGCAGAGAGGACGGCGATTCTTTCAGGAGTGAATACTGCAGGGATCTGTGTGTTGGACGGCTCTCACAGTCAAAATTGCGTTTTGGTGGATTCAATTCTCAAACACCCATGCCTGAAGTTAAAACATGTCCTCCATCACATCCTTCTCATACAACCAATACCGATGAATTCACTAATTGACCCTTCGCAAAGACCCGCCCCCGCCCCATAGTTACTGTTGCTACGTCTGCTCTCACGGCACACATCATGTTCTCACGCAGTGAAAAATACATCGGAGCAAAGAGGACACTGACGACGCACCGACAGACAAGAAAGAGCAGGTTACTCTTGGTATGAAACAAAGTCTCGGCTTTCAAATTTTGTAATTGAAGAAATTCAATAAATAGCGTTTTGTGGCCCTTTAATGTGTCATGACAGATCGTCTCAGTTCAAGCGGCTCATAAACCGATCTACTAGTTATAGCACAAAATAAACGTGAATGAACATCAGAAGTTATCTTGTTTCAACCGCAGAAAGATGTCAATACACACCATTTTTCAAGTTCAAATCAAGATTATGATTGGTCAGATCGCCTGTCAGTCAAACGAAGGGTTAGTTGACTGGTTGGTTGTTGGACTATTAGTCAACCACCCTGGCCCATGTCTAGTTTAAAGTAATAGTATGGTGATGTTGAGAGCTCTGCTCACAAACACTGGTCGTTTTTGTTTTGTCTAAAGCATTGTGAAATTCACAGAGTGAAATATTGATGTTAGTGTAATATAACCGAGTATGACCGATCATTTTTCTTCCTGACTCTTATGTTCCTACAGCTGTAGCCCAAACAAAGTTTTGTAGAAAATCTAAACAAAACACTGCAAGGCTTAATTTCTCCACCGATGTCTCACCAAGCCCTTCTGTGACATTTGGGGTGTATCTTTTTTTTGATGTTTTGGTGAATTCCTGTGTTGTTCTGTGAATCACACTTGTGAACAAACAGCGCTTTGCTGTAATGAGCACTCTTTACTTTCTCATAGGGCTGGGTGATATGGCCAAAAAAATGATCACTATAAAATTTTTCATGTCAGTCGATATCAATAATTATCACAATAAATTTTGAATCTTTATTTCTTTAACGTTTTGAGTTTACTTTCTCATTTGTTTCCCTTAGGTGTTTCTATCAGGCCGTTGCAGACTAAGAATTTATGCCACCTCAGTCGTTTTCAGGTTTCGCATGTCTCTAGAGTTGTGCACTCTCTTTGTGGAGGACACAAAACCTGGGCTCATTGCCTGCTATTGAGAATGCCGGCTTTGTGAATTTCTCACGATGATGATAGATGCGTTATCTCTCTTACTCCACCTGATGCTGTGCCAAAAGCCTCCCGAGCATCGACACTATCACTGTCACCTGCTGTGTGAAGTTGTTTTTAACACACTGCCCGGAGATGAAAGGGTGGAGGTGTTTATTCTTCACTTTCACTATGTTTATTTCTTCATTTCTCTTTCCTGTAAGTGCAGGTGTGTCACACCAGGCTGATCATGTGACTAGAGTCACTTGACTGATTTCAAACTCCAAAGACGACTTGTGCTGTTGATCCAGCCTCCCAAAGCATCTAATAATCGACGGCTGTATAGGAAAGCGAATTTGACTTGTTCTGTAGGAATCTCCTCTTGAAAACTGCATCCAGGAAAGGCTTGTCTCAGATAATCTGAGAATATAGATGTAGTTCTGTTGTTATCCTACTCCATGTTTCACCTCCCTCCATTCCATCCTTCCATATGGCCCAATTTCGTTGTAAAAGCTTCACTTTGGCCTTCAGAGGTTGTACATGCGGAGCTTCATGGACACTGTGCGAGAGCAATGTCAATAATTTAAAGCTCTGCCATCCAGCCCTGGGTTCTGATTTGCATAAAGGGTTTTAAGAGATCATAAGCAGCTGGGAGAACATTAAATGGACCACCACGTCCAGCATATGGTGTAGAGATATCCCTCTTCACCAGTTCTACCCACTGAAGCATCACTCTAGCCAGCCGGCTGCAACACACATTTACTTTTTGTATTCTATGTAGTCTGGTAAACTGTGTATTAATATTTTTCCTTGGTTTTCAAGTGCTACATCAGGGGTGTCCAATCCTGCTCCTGGAGAGTTTAGCTCCGTCCTGCTCAAATACACCTGCTTGGAAGTTTCTAGAAAAACACGTAATTGATGGTGAAGCTGCTGTTGCCTTCAAGTGCATTTGGGAAACTCTGAGTCGGGCTTTCATTATTACGACAATCAATTAATTCCTATACATGCTATTACAACTAAATGTTTTTTTTGTGACATAAAGCAAACCGTAAAAGTTG